TGCAGGGCCCACAGGGATCAGGAATGACAAGGAAAGCACAGAGTGTGGGCTGGGAAAAGGCACCACAGTTTTTCCCAGGGACCGGCACTCACTGCACAGTGATGGGAGCATCGCCGCTGCGGTTGGAATAGTTAACAACAGCATTGAAGGACTGGTTCACCCACTGCCAGAACACCACAGTTGGGGTCTTCCTGAGGGAACAAAATCAGTTTTATTTCTCCCTCTACAGTGTCTCTCATCTTTGGACCCCTATAGTGAAATCCCAACGGTTACTCCCAAGCCCTCAGGAGAATCCAGTTGATGACCCTAGAACCTGCTCTTATAACCCTTATATGCCCCCCTCATACAAGTAGACCCACTGACTCTGGGGTGGGGGACCCCCAAGGCTGCGTTCTTAGGAATGGGAGGGATTCTGATACAAGCTCCTGCCCACCCACTATTCTCTACCCAAATTGGCCCAAAGAGGAGACACCTAGCTATACTCTAGCTTGGATCACTCAGGAAGGGGACATGGGATAAGACCTGCCTGTAGAACGTAAGCATGCAGCCAGTGATCATCATGTTCATGGGCACCTGGGCTGACATGCGGCCAATCAGGACCACCTTCTCCCCTGTGTCTGGATGGAAGGCAGAGTCGTACACATACTTGGCCCTCCATAGCTGGTCCTCGGTGAGCCCTGGGGTCACTACCCCAGCCCTGCAGAAGTTGACAAGGAACCAAATTGTTCTAAGAGGACAATCTGCCCTCTAAAGTTCTGTTTACCCTGCTCAGAAAACTCTGGGCAGAGGACTAGGAACTTTGGCCCCCCATCTCAGGATAAAAGAGTTCCTTGACTCTTTGGGAGAATCAAAGGGTCCCAGAAATGGGGGTTCCTAGTTCAATTTCCCTTCTAGCCACACATTTTCTGCTAAGTAATAGATAGCGGTGGTGGTAGTGGTGGTGGTGGTGGTGGTGGTGGTGGTGTGTGTGTGTGTGTGTGTAGAGTGCTGGGGATTGAACCCAGGGCTGTGTGCATGCAAGGCAAGCACTCTACCAACTGAGCTATATCCCCAGCCCTGATGGTGGTTTGACAAGTCAAAAATGGCTGGGCCAGGCATAGTGGCACACGCCTGTAATTCCAGTGGCTTGGGAAACTGAGACAGGAGGATCATGCGTTCAAAGCCAGCCTCAGCAAAAGCGAGGTGCTGAGCAACTCAGTGAGACCCTGTCTCTAAATAAAATACAAAATAGGATTGGGGATGGGGCTCAGTGATTGAGTGTCCCTGAGTTCAATCCCCAATACCAAAAAAAAAAAAGGTGGGAAGCATCACAAGAACTTTTGATTCTGAAGACAAAAGGGATGCCCTCCTACCTCCTTGGTAGGAGTAGACCAACAGTAGACCAACAGTGGGAAAAGTTCCTATGGTGGTTTGTGAAACATAAAGCAGCCTTCCACTCATAAATATCAATGTTACTTCCTCAACCCAAATACCCAAAAGTTCTTTAGATTAAAGCTCTGTGCCATGGAGAGGTGCCAGCAAATGAGGTCAGGGAGTGAGGGGGTTGTGGAATGGGACTTGTAAGTTTAGGAAGGCAGGTACAAAATGTACTAGATTAATGACAGTGAATGACACCCTAAGACACAGTGTCAGATGGGGGTCACCTGTAGTTTTGCACAATGTTCCGAGAAGCTTCCAGCTGAGCTCCAGACAACAGCAGATTTCGAGGATCAGTAACAGTGAAGAAGTGCCGGGCTCTGCCCAGGAAAGTGCTCTGGTCCCAGCGAGGTTCCTGGATGTTGATATCTAAGGGCAATTCACCCATTTTCTGCAAGGCAGGGACAAGGGTCAGAGGGCTTCAAGGAGGGAGTCCAACGGCTCCACCTGGGGGAAGCTTTGATGGCCCTGCCCTAGTTTCTAAGCCTATCACCTGTTTCTTCAAGAGTTCAAGGTGACTCCAGATAGGTAAGCAAGGGTAGAGGAGGAGTTGTTTCCTAGGCAATGTCCTAGCCAGGGACCTACAAGCACTGGAAGAGGGGGAGGGGAAGAGAAGAACTAGAAAATAGGTTACCCTAGGTTCTGGCCTGGTGCAGATTTTCATGAGTAAAGATTTACATGTGTGTGGTTGATGCATGAGCAACAACTAATCCTGTGCAGCTACTTATGAGCTCTGCTTGCACAGAAAGGTGTAATATGTGCATGACACAGCCATGCCCATGTCAGCTTCAGGCCCCAGCTGCCCTGATACGTAGATATAAACCCCCTTGCCTATTTGAGAAGATGGCAAAAGACATCCCATGTTCCAGCCCCTGATTGGAGGACAACCAGAGCTCTTTGGGCTTATCCCAGATCTCAAACAGGACATTCTGTAAGCCATATGCATTCATGTGGGCATGCACATGTCCTATGTTCAAACCCATTTTCCCCAAGCCACACTGGGTGACCCAAAGCTCTTCCTGTTCCCTGGCAAGGCAGGACTGCCACAGACACCCATCTGCTTCTCTCTGAACCAACTACCTCCAGAAAGAACAGGATTCAGTGGAAACCCCGCTACCCAGCAGAGAGGAAAGCCGGGAGCAGCCATCTGGCCGTGCTAGGCAAAATCCTGCAGAATGACTAATCCCCTCCAACCCTACTTCCTCCCTAAGGCAGGCACACCCAACTCTCTCTCACTCTCACATACCCACACACAAAGATATGCATGCCCGACCCAGATATACAAACAGGGTAGACACAATCCACGAACCATAAAAGCCGTTATACACACAGAGAGCTCACATACATCAGTTGCAGATGCTAAATGACACTCCCACACACACCCCCACCCCCCGCCAGCCTCCCCTTGTGCACCATAGACCTCCACAGAGGCTGAGATACTGAATCCCCAGGATAAAGAGCACGTTTCAAGGCAAGCATCCTTCTCCAACCCCCACCCCCTACCCTCCACTCCCCTAACTCCCATTCCCTGCCTGGACAGGGAGCACTCACGCTTTCCGGGATTGCCTGCCTCTGCAGATCTCAGACCCGCCTTCCTTTCCGCGCGACTGTGGCCCTCCCAGTCATCAAGCCGGACGTCATGCATGACGCTGAGCAGCAGGGAGGGAAGGTGGCTCCCTCTGGCTTGTTCGCTTAGCCAGCCCCAAACCTGGAAGGCCCTGGGGGCGGTAGATATCATTTGGGGATACGCCCCCAGCCCGGGCCGCCAGGACTAGGTCCCGTGAGGCCTCCCAGAACGAGTCTTACCGCAGAGATCTGTTCTGGCCCCACTCCCCATCCCGAGAAAGGAAGGGAGGAGCCGCACCACTGCCCCTTCGCTTCTCTTGCAATGCCCTGGCGGGCCTCCAGAGGCACCCTGTCCCTGCCGCAGGGGTATAGGTGCACTTGGCGCAGGTGCGTGGTGTGAAGGGGCGGTCCTCTGATGCAGAGCTCCCCCGGAGGGACTCAGGTTACTGATTGTTTACTTGAGGGCTGTCTGTGATGGCCTCTGTTTGCTGGGCCCCCTGGGCTCCTACCCAGGTACCCATAAACTCCTCTCTCAGCACCTCAGTATTCAGCATCCCTTCGCAGCAGAGTTCCTATCGTGCCGCCCTCTTAGGCTCTCCCTCTCTGACCCCTTACTCCACTGTTTCCCCAGTATCTTTATACCTCCAACCCTCAGCGATGCACCACTGATCTTAGCTCCAGATGTGAATGGCCAGAAGGCTAACCTCCATCTGCATCTGAGGAAATACATCAGAAGTATTATTCCTTCCCCTAGTGTTCTGGGACAATTGCCCTGCCCTGCGACCTTTCCAGAACAGGGTGGCCTGGCAGACACCTTCTGACATAGAAGGAGGCAGGTGATAAAGGCAGCCTTCATACGCGCGGGCGCGCGCGCGCGCACACACACACACACACACACAGCTTACCCAGTCACCACACAACACACCTGCTAAATGCCCAGGCGCCACCCGGCGCTGTAGCTCGTCGCGGGCTCACACCCTGCTCTTTCCTGGTGAATCCCCCCCATGGAGGCCTCAGGAGTGACCACAAATGGGTGGCATTTCCAAGAGCCCGGGATAGCGTGGCCCGGAGAAGACAAGGTTCCAGAGGGATGGGGCGAGCCGAGAGCCAAGCCCTAGGTTCGCGTAACGGGTTGGGGCAGAGCCCTGTGGCCCCAGGACCAGGTGACCAGCGGCAGACCCCCGGCGACCAAGGGAGGTGCTGGAGGGAGTAACTGGTGGCCCCACTAGCCAATGGGAGCCCAGAGCTTCACAGACCAGCCCTATTCCCGCAGCCCCGCTGGGCGTGGGCGGGGTCGCTGGCTGCTGCACTGGCTGGCACCTGAGGGTGCACAAAACCCGCCGCGATCACACACCGGAGCAGGTGAGGGGGCCAAGCCAGAGAAATGGAGCCCAGGAGGGCCAGGCCTGGAGTAGGGGTTGTGTTCTGGGTACCAGATCTGCTCTGGGAGACTTGGCTCTGGGTTTTTCGCTGGGTATTGTGAGGCTCTGACCGGCAGATTCTCCGCCCAAGCGTGGGAAGGAGTCACGCAGCAGTTTTGAACCCTGAGCAGCTGCCTGCGGTCAGGGGATTTCTTGGGCCTGGGCTGCAGCTGTCCCAGGTCCTGAAGCCCTACGCTGAAGGTTGGCCCCTGTCCGCATACACAGAAGAGGTATGGCAATGAATTGTCCTGGCCCTTCATTTTCCCCACATTGCTGGAAGGCCAGGGGCTGCAATAATCCCATATCCACTCTCTCAACCTCTACTGAGGACTGGGGATGAGGTAAATGACTCAGCTGAGAGCAGAAATGCGGAGAGCTCCCCATACACCTTTTATATAAATGGCTCCAAAGGTCCAAAATGGTGCCTGGCCGTGGTCAACCCCTGGCCCAGGGTAGGAGAGGTGGGGAGCTGAGGGTCTAAGATATGGGAGGGCAGGATGCTCAAACCAGGGGGAGAAGTGGCAGTTCTGGGGACAGTAGGGCAATGTTCACACCCTCTCACCCAATCTATGCTCTCCCTGCCCAGGTCTGGAGCCTACCACACCTGAGAAGTGAGGGGTTCCACCTTTCTGAGACCTCACCCTGCACGGAAGGCTCATGGAGCTCAGAGCACTGGGAGCTGGCCTCTGGAGGGTTGGCAGATTCCTTCTGGACCTGTAGGGTGCCACTCCAGTCCAGCCACCATGGCACATGGCTTCACAGCGGGCTTTGACCCACCAGGTCTAGGAGAACTCAGCTCTAGCTCTCTGAGCTCCCTCTCCTCCCGAGGCCACCTGGGCAGCGACTTCGGCTCCACCGCAACACGATACCTGTTGCGGAAGCAGCAGCGACTGCTGAATGGGCCCCCCCGTGGAATCCGAGCCTCATCACCCATGGGCCGTGTCATTCTCATCAACTCCCCCATCGAAGGTGGGTGTGGGGCCCAGTCACTAGCTTGGGCTGGGGAAGGCTGGGATAGAGGACAGCAGGAACTAAGTAGGAGGTGGTAAAGCCAATGATTGGGGGGAACTCAAGAGATAGGAGTCTTAGGGAAGTGAGGGCTCTGGGAACCCACATCTTCCTTGCTTACCCTTGCCTCTCCTCCAGGTCAAGACTTTAGGGCTCTAAGATTGTAGACCAGAGTTAGAAGCTAGGGATAGGACAGCAGGGAAAGCTGTGTGTATAGTATGTTAGCCCTGGAGTGAACAAGGTTAGGTGTTGAACAGGCCCATTCCTCCCATGAACTCTGCTTTTCTCCAGATCCATTTATGTGTGCTTTGTGGGATGGAGCAGGATGGAAAAGGACATCTTCCAGCAACCAGCCAATTGTATGACCAGCTCTGTGCCTAACTATGAGGAGTCAGTGCCCAGGTTTCAGGGATCAAAGCAAGGGCCTGAAGGTAGAGCAGCAAATGTTCAGTCAGAAGAGAAGAGACAAGAGGTTTGAAGGAGGCCTAGGTCTGGGCCCTCAAAGAGGGTATGACCTAAGCTGGTGTAGTTACCTGATGCTGCAGTTATTGTATACCAATTCTATACCTGCCCTGATTAGGTCCTGCAGAGGACCTAGAGAAATGAGCCTCACCTCCAGAAACATACATTGTAGCAGGACTTAGAGACACAGCAACAAAAACAGCTGGTATTGGGGTTCAGCTATCACCCATAGAGGTTAGAGTGAAAAGCTGGAGCATGTGAGGCAGGCACCTAGGAGATAGCCTGGTTGCAGTGACAGATGTGAGGCGGCAAAGATCTGGTGAACAAGACAGCACCCTGACTGCCAGGCAGGGAGCAGGGCCCTCTGGGCCTGGGCTTTCTGTGGGAAGGACCAGATAAATATCTCCAGCTCCTCTCCTCTTTCTTATCCAGCAGCACTCCTCTGACTGGATCTCAGAATGGACTTTTCAGGCCTTGCTCCTCCCCTCTGACCCAGCTGGGTGTCTCTGTCCCTGTCCCCAGAACATTCATGCCATCACCTACCACGGTGTGCCTCACCTTCAGGTGAGCAGCAGGGCATTGCTGAGGGTCACCGTTGTCATTCTGGTCATGTAGCAGAAGTCCCCAGAGGAGCTAGGAGGTGTGTGTGGAAGGGAGTGAGGAGGCACTACCCTCATAGGTTTCACTCTGTTGAAAGAACTATGTAGCCAGCAGGTGGCAAAAGCCTGAAATCCCAGCTATTCCAGAGGTTGAGGCAGGAGGATCACAAGAGTCCAGTCTGGCGACTTAGTTTATATATATATATATATATATATATATATATATATATTTTAAAGAGAGAGGAGAGGGGGGGAGAGAGAGAGAGAGAGAGGGAATTTATTTATTTATTTTTAGTTTTTCGGCGGACACAACATCTTTGTTTGTATGTGGTGCTGAGGATCGAACCCGGGCCGCACGCATGCCAGACGAGCGCGCTACCGCTTGAGCCACATCCCGAGCCCCTTAGTTTATATTTTGAGACCCTGTCTCAACGTAGCTCAGTGGTACAGCCTTACCTAGCATGCTTGACGCCCTGGGTTCAATGCCCAGCACCAAAAAAAAAAAAAAAAAAAAAACCGAAGACAAATCACTTGGCCTTACTCCTGAGTTTCTGGTTCTAGATCTGTGGTGAATCCCAAGAATTCACTTTTTTTAAACATGTCTACTGGTGATGTTGATGCTGCTGGTCCACACCACATCTCAGGAACTACTGTGACAGGGACTAACTGGCAGGAGGGCCAGGAGTCCAGGAAGGCTGCAGAGAGGGAATGAGGAAAGGAACTGGCCTATGCAGGTCGAGGCAAAGGTGTTGCAGGCAAAGGGGACACGGAAAGGGCTGGTTTCCAAGAGTAATAGGAAGGAGGTCAGTGTGGCCAAAGCCCGGTGAGGGAGGGGAGGGAAGTGGGCAGAGGAAGCCTGTGGGTGGCCTCACTGAGTCCAGGGAGGAGTTGGAGTTCCTCTAGAAGCTGGCAAAGGGACAGGAGTTGACATTTTTTATCAGGGGAGAGGCATGCCTTGCTATAAACACAGACTGGCCATGAAGAAGATGGAGAGGGCAAGAGCAGAAGCGGGCATATGGGCAACGGCTGTAGAGTTCCTGGAGGATGGGTGGGTGGCCAGGGCCAGGGCAGTGGAGGGAGAGAAGGTCCCATCCTTAGAGGACTCAGGCTTCTGGAGCTCAAACCTCAGAATAGGTATCACCTTGGCACAGGGCCCTAAGGGCCCCCTGGGAGGGACTGAGGAGAAAGAGGGCTGGGGCTGGGAGCAAAAGACTCCTGGGCTGAGGCTGAAGTGTCCTGTGACTACAGTCTGCTGGGAAACCCCACAAGCTCCCAAGTCTCTGTCCTGCACTGTCCCTCCTAAGGCTGCCCTTAGGGACTTCTGTCTGAGCTGGCCATGCACTGTAACCTGATTTCGGCTAGATCAAATTGAAGTGTGTGTGTGTGTGTGTGTGTGTGTGTGTGTGTGATTTCTCCCTCTCAAATACCTCTAGGGTAAGCCTTTCTGAGAAGAAATCTCAGAAATGGACCCAACTCATCTGGGGCCCAACTTATCCTTAAGTTTTCTTGCTTTTCTCTTCCTGGAAGTTCTCCTCAAGGCCGGTCTCTGAGCCTGGCTCACTCCATCCCCTCCTCAGTGTCTCCTTTTCCTTCCATCCATTCAAATCCCATCCATCAGTCCTCTAAGAAGCCTTTCCTGATAACTTGGGACCCAGGACACTCCCGTACCTTCTGACTTACCCCAGCACTGGATGGAGAAGTTAGCTCTGGGCACACCATGCAGCATGGTGATGTTTGGGGTTTCTTTCCCCAGGTAGCCAGGTAGTCCCTGCATGCTTACTCCCAGAATCACAGAGTCTAAGAGATGGAGGCCTCGACACTCCTTCCTAAACATCCCAGTTAGGGATTTACCAGGTCTGAGTTTGCATGCTGCTCACTAGCTGTCCCAGGAAACCCATTCCATTTCTGGCAGTTGCATATTTCAGAAAGTTTTTCCTTACAAAACATGCCTCCATCTAACTCCACCACATGGGCTTGATTCTGCCCTCTGGGTTCCACTGACAAAAATATCTAATGCCTTCCAGAGCCTCACTCTACAGCTATTTGAAATTAGAGCTAATCTACCATTTCTGTTGCAAGCAGAAGAGGCCAGGCTCCCTTTGCTGTGTCCCAAAGAATGGAATTTGAACCTTCTTTGCCATCTTTCTGGGCCTCTGAGTGGCAGCCGTTTTAGAAATATGGGCACAGAATGCTCAGTAAACATTACACACACACACACACACACACACACACACAGCAAAGGAGCAGGACTCCTGTCCTGATATCCTCACCTGCTTCCACACACTCCATGGCCCAGGGTCAAAATCACCCTAAATGGAACTTGGAAATTGATTCCCTCCCCTCAGTACTATGTGGCTCTGGCCAGTAATCCAGCTTTTGCAAGCCCCAATTTTGGGAACCTAGGGGCCCTCTGTGCCCAGAATGAACGTGGGGATCATGCCTGTGTCCCCATTCCTGCAGCCAACAGTGATGAAAGTGACATCATCCACACAGTCCGGGTGGAGAAGAGCCCAGCAGGGAGGCTGGGTTTCAGTGTGCGGGGAGGCTCTGAGCATGGCCTGGGCATCTTTGTCAGCAAAGTGGAGGAGGGGAGCAGTGCAGGTGAGTGATCCTGGGGGAAGATTGCTGGTTTAGGATGTTACCCCCATCTCAGGGGAGGCAGGGGATGCTGTGGGCAGCAATGAGGAAAAGTCCTCAGCTCTGGAAGGCTGATCTCATGGAAGATGGGGCCCACCCTTGGGCAGAGTGGATCAAGGGACAGAGATTCCTTAATAGGCAATACTCAGAGCCTACTCTGAAGATCTGCACCTTGAGGGAGGAAGCTCAGTACCCCAGGGAGCTCTGTCCAGTGGGGAGGTCAGCCTCCTCCCCACTCTCTGGCACAGAGCGGGCTGGCCTATGTGTGGGGGACAAGATCACAGAGGTGAACGGACTGAGCCTAGAGAGCACCACCATGGGCAGCGCAGTGAAGGTGCTGACGGGCAGCAGCCGCCTGCACATGATGGTACGGCGCATGGGCCGGGTGCCAGGCATCAAATTCTCCAAGGAGAAAACCACATGGTGAGCAGCCCCAGCCTTCCCAACCCACAACCACCCCTGAACAGGAGGAGCCAGAAACAGTGCAATCCCCAGGAAATAAAATGGGCCTGAGTCTCCCTCTTTGCCATACTTCAATGGCACTAACTGTCCAACACCAGGGCCCTCTTCGCTCATTGCTGCTGCTGTGAAACTAGGGCACAGCATCAGCACCTCCCTCATAGGGGCATTATAAGGAGTAGAAATGGGGCCCTAGGGCTGGGGGTGGTTCAGTATACAGTGCATACTCCCTGTGCCCCAGGCCCTGGGTTCCATCTCCAGCACCGAAAGAAAAAAAAAAAGATTTTTAAAAAATGGGGCACTGCATATTGCAGCTGTTCCATAAAAATGTGAGTAGGATGATTTCCCAGACTGAATACAACTTATGTCCCACTGAGGATCCTAGGCCTGGGATGTCCCCTGGAGGCAGCCTCCCATTCCCATGCAGCTATCAAGACTACTGGGAGGGGAGATGGGAGGTGGTGGCTGGGGACCCCACCTGAGGGCCCCTTGCTGCTGTTCCAGGGTGGATGTGGTGAACCGGCGGTTGGTGGTGGAGAAGTGCAGTTCCACTCCATCCAACAGCAGCTCGGAGGATGGTGCGCGGCGCATTGTCCACCTGTACACGACCTCTGACGACTTCTGCTTGGGCTTCAACATCCGAGGGGGCAAGGAGTTTGGCCTGGGCATCTATGTGTCCAAGTAAGGGCAGAGACAGGGTTGAAATGGAGTATCTAGAGGTTGGGCTGGGAATGGGGCTGGGATTGGGGCCTGGGGATGACCAACAAGTGAGGCATGGCCAACTACATGTCCAAATGAGGGCCCAGGTCAGGGGTGGACCTGATAAGGGATGTGGTCACCAGGAGGGGGGTCAAGGAGCATGACTAGGGCATTCCCATATCCAAGTGAAAGGGAACTAAATAGGGGTGAGGGAGACAGGCCAGAGTCTTATCAACTGACACCTGTCTGACCCAGAGTGGACCATGGTGGGCTGGCCGAGGAGAATGGCATCAAGGTGGGGGACCAAGTCTTGGCGGCCAACGGTGTCAGGTTCGACGACATCAGCCACAGCCAAGCCGTGGAGGTGCTGAAAGGCCAAACACACATCATGTTGACCATCAAGGTGGGCAGGACTCTGGGAGTCATGGAGAGGCCAGACTAGAAGAAGTATTTCCCAGACCACCCTTGTTCTTTATTGAGCTCCTTGCTCTCCCCTATGTGACATTTCCGTAGCCAAGTGGAAAGGAGTTCTAATTCCCCTTTTGCAAAAGAAGAATCTGAGGTTCAGAGAGGCATTGCAACTGAGGTTCAGAGAGGCCAGTGATTCTGCTGCTCAGTAGCGTAACCTGGCTCCAGTCCTCTCCCCAGATTCCTGAGGCAGCACCCTTTCTTCTGAATGGTGGAGACCTAGGGTTGAAGGAACAAATGTCCTGCCCACAAGGGTGGAGTGGTATCTGTGGCTTTGGGCAAAGACTTGGTGGTAGGCACCCTCAGGCCACAGGGCAAGGAGCCCTAGGCTAGGGCCAGAGATCAGATTTCAGGGGAGGCAGCTGTATTCATTATTCATGTAGGTCTCACGCTTGCCTGAGGATCAGGTCCTTCTCACTCTGGCTTCTGTAGAAGGTGATGGCTCACTCTTCCTTGGTGCCAATTGGTGGCCCCTGCTCTGCCTTCTCCTTCATCACCAGGCCTTTGCCCATCTCACCATTCAGTGCCTCCTCCACCCCCACTATTTCCCACCTCTCCCGCATCCCATTTCTCCCTTTCCTTCCTCAAATTATCCCAGACCCCCTCCTCACTCCTGCTCTGCCTCTTATTCATTCATTCAACAATATTTTTGAGGGTTGAGGGTATACCTCAGTGGTAGAGTTTTTGCCCAGCAGGCTTGAGGCCCTGGGTGCAATTTCCAACTCCACATAAAACAAAACAAAACTACAATATTTTGAGTACCTACTCTGTGCTGGATGCTATGCCCGGTACTGAGGCTGCATCAATGACAGGACAGCCAAGGTCTCTGCTCCTGGGGGGAAAAGGACAAACCAGATACTTGTAGACTGTGACAAATGCCACCAGGAAATTAACAGAGAGGTGGAATGGAGTAATTTGGGAAGATCCTTATAGCCAGGGGACATCAGGGCAGGTCTCTCTGAGGAAGTGACAAAGAGCAAGAATGAGCTAGCCACATAATGAGCTGAAGGAAGAGAAAACAGGCAGAAGGGAGGGCAGGTGCAGAGATCCTGTGGTACAAAGGAACTTGGCATGATTAGAAATGAAGTGGCCAATGTTGCTAGAGCACAGTGGATTCAGAAGGGAGAAATGGAAATTAAGGTTTACTCCTGTCCCATTTCTCACCCTCCCTTCTCACCTGTTCCTCCTATCCCACCATGACCTCCCCAGGAGACAGGCCGGTACCCTGCCTACAAGGAGATGGTTTCTGAGTACTGTTGGCTGGACCGATGTAAGTGGCTTAAGTCCTCAAATTTGGAGGGAAAGGGGCTAAGACCCAAGAGTGGGGCCAGGGTCTCTGAAAAAGAAAGGACAGGGACCAAGATCTACTCAAGACCCTCACATAACCCAGAGCGGCTTCTAGGACCCCCCTGATGTCTTGCAGATTCAATTTCAGGCTCTTCTAGGGCCTTGAGGCCCAGAGAGTGAACAGAGAAGTGCTCTGTCTGAGGTTTCTCATAAGACAGAGGCAGGATTGCGTAGCAGCTTGTGGCTTTAACCTCAGTGGCTGCCTGGCCTTCGTTCCTCTACCCGCAAGCCCCGGAGTGATCTGCAAGCCTCACAGGGTGCTGAGGCAAACCCGTCATATGCACAGGTGCTGCATATGCCCCTGCCTTCCCATCTCCCTGCAGTGAGCAATGGGGTGCTGCAGCAGCTGTCACCTACCTCTGAGAGCAGCTCCAGTGTCTCCTCATATGCCTCCAGCGCCCCCTATAGCTCAGGCTCCCTGCCCTCGGACCGCATGGATGTCTGCCTGGGGCCTGATGACCTGGGCAGCCAAGGAACAGGTTGGGGGCGGGCGGACACAGCCATGCAGACGGAGCCTGATGTGGGGGGCCGTGTGGAGACTTGGTGTAGCGTGCGGCCCACAGTCATCCTCAGAGACACAGCCATCCGTTCTGAAGGACCCCCTCCTGCCCGCCGCCTTGACTCTGCCCTCTCAGAGTCCCCCAAGACTGCTTTGCTGCTGGCCCTTAGCCGACCCCGGCCCCCCATCACACGCTCCCAGAGCCACCTGACCCTATGGGGTACGTGGGGAATGGGAGGCTGCTGCTTTCTCTATAGTCCCTGGTCCAAAACTGCTCATTCTGTCCCTCTTTTTGCCTCAGATCTTGGCCCAGGCTCAGCCCTAAAGCATACTCATCCCATGCTCTGGGTTCCATTTTAAGCCAGACCTGGGCCGCAAACCTGTTCTTAGTCCTATCCCAACTTTGATCTCCAAACCCGCCCTCACCCCTGTCCTTTCAATCTGGAGTGCCCAGGCCTGTTCTCCCCAGCCCCAGATTCCTTACACGGCTTCACTTGTGTGATTCTGGGAGAGGTGGAAACTGGAGGAGGAACCCCCCACACCCTTCCCCACCCTGCACGAGTGCAGATCCTGTCTGCCACCCCCACTCTCCCTTTTCTCTGCCCCTTCCCACACCCCTGCCCCTCGTCCTTCCCTTCTGCCCACCCTCCAGCCCCCCGGGTGCTCCCTCGTGTCTGCAGAGGAGAAGAAACAGCGGAAGAAGGAGAAGTCGGGGTCCCCTGGGGAGAAGGGGGCCCTGCAGCGCTCCAAGACTCTGATGAACCTCTTCTTCAAGGGAGGGCGGCAGGGGCGGCTTGCAGGGGATGGGCGCAGAGAGGCCTGGACACTGGACAGCAGGAGCCCAGCCAAAGCCCGCCCTCGCCTGGACCTGGAGAAAGGTAGGTGCTGGATTGACCAGGCAGGGAAGATGGGGCAAAGTCCGCCAGCTGGGGCCTCTGGCACACCGCCTCACCACTCAACCTGGAGAGCCTAGTTTTCCTCATAGATTCAATAGGAGTAATAATGCCTGTTTCTTTAGAATACTGGGGAATAAGTGAGTTAGCAAATGTAAATCACATTGTCTGGCACACAGAAGGTGCTCGGAAAATGTGGTGGTCATTGTCATCTTGCCTTACCTCCCTTTGTACAGAAAGGGAAAGTGACAGAGTTGCAACACAGCAAGGAAGTAGAAGACCTTGGCTCAGAGCCCAGTGCCCTTGGTGGTGGCAGTAGTGGGGCTTGCTTTTGCCAGCCATCTAGCTTCTCAGGCCCAATCAAATTCTAGAATCATTGAGCAAGACCATTTCTAGATCAAGGCCCAGGCAGAAGGGCCAGCCCACGCTGTACTCACATGAGGCTTCCCACCCACGAGATGGCTGTCCTCCCTGGTAAGGCTCAACGTCCAGGCCAAGAGTGGATGAGTTAAGACTCTTAGAGCTGCATTTGACAGAAACTTAACCAAACTCACCTCTTGGGGCTGTGGCCATGGCTCAGAGGTAGCACACTTGCAAGGCAGGTGTCAGGCACTGGGTTCGATTCTCAGTACCACATATAAAATAAATAAATAAAAGTCTATCAACAGCTAAAAAATATTTTTTTTAAAAAAGTCACCTCTTGCTGGGCGTGGTGGTGCATGCCTATAATCCCAGTGACTCAGGAAGTTGAGGCAGGAGGATCACAAGTTCCAGGCCAGTCTCAGCTATTTAACAAGGACCTAAGGAGATTTTTTTATTTAAAAAAGAGCTGAGGATGTTGCTCAGTGGTTAACCACCTCTGGGTTCAATCCTTGGTACCAAAAAAAAAAAAAAAAAAAAAAAAGACCTCTTAGCTCAGGTACTGACTTAGGCAGGTCTAAAGGTCTGAAAAATATCACTACATGTGTCCATTGGTCTTTTGGTTCCATTTTCTGGTGAGTTGATTTGCCATCATTCGGGCTTTACTGACTTGATAAGATGGCCACTATTATTTCGCAATCCCCAGGGAAAAGTAGTTTCTCCTGAAGTAGTTCCAGCTAAGTCTCATGAACCTGTCTCTCATCCCCACTGGGATCACAAACCATGCTAAACAAACCACTGTGATGTGGGAGACAAAGTGTTTTTGCTGGCCAGCCTGGGTCACATGCCTACCCCAGAGTACATGGGCTGAGAATGGGGACATTGGTCCCCAGGAGACCATTAGGGTGAGGTTTCCAGAAAAGGGGAGTGGATGTTGGGTAGGTGAAAACAATCAGAGAAAGAGGAGCTGGATGCTGCCCCACTCTGGATTTGGATGTTCTGGGGCATCAAGGTGACAGTTCCATAGGAGAGACAGCCCTCCAAATTAGGGCCAACCCCCCACTCCTTCACCTCTCTCTTCCCACAGCTCCCAGGACACTGCTCTCTCCTGGTTCTCAGCTCACCTCTCTGGTCACTCTTATCTATCTTTTGAAGGCTCCTCTTTTCTCCTCTGACCCTTGAAGGTAGGTACCCCAGGCTCTGTCCTTGGGGTTCTTTTCTCCTTCTTTCAAATGAATCTCCCTGAGCAGCGCTCACACTGAATCCTCTCTTGATCCAAAATCTTCATTGACTCTCTGTTGCCTAAGAGTGAAGTCCCTAGCTGAGCATGACCTTCAAGCCCCTGGGGTCCAGTTCTCTTGTCTCTGGATCCAACCTACTTACATCCTGAATGCTCCATTTCAGTCAGTACTGAGTCCCTCCCAACCCTTTTTCCAGAGCCTGCCTGAGCCTTTTTCTTCTTCACAGCAGGGGGAGTTGGGCCTGTACAGAAGTTTGTCACCTGGAGACTGAGACGTGGTAATTCATGCATGTCTTTCCCAAGGCCTGGTCAACAGTAGGGTGGAGATAAGGGTGCATGTTGGGGCCGGTTTGATGGCTTTGGACTAAAATCTGTTGGGCTCGAGCAAGGACTATCAGGCAAAGAGGTACATATTGGGGGCAGTTCAAAGAATTGGTCTAAACTTACTTACCATACCCAACTAGAAAAGATAGGGTTGCACATAGATAGGGGGATACATTTTGAGGGTTTGTGCTGAGTCTCCCAGAGAGATATCTAGGGTCAATGAGAAAGTCTGTGATAGGGCTTCCAATGAGGAACAGACTAGTATGACAGTGTATTTTTAGGGGGCACAGAGATCACTGGGCCAAGACTCCATTAAGGAGTAGACTGGTGTAGGGGTGGGTTTGGGGACTAAAGGCTGGGGTTGGTACTCCACTGGAGGGCAGGTTGCTGTGGAAGGCCATACTGGGGAATATATGGACTAGGCTAGAATTTCATGCTAGGTACCTGGGCCTCTCAGCTGGCCTGTTTCTTCAGGCCTGACCCCTGGTAGGGAAGCCCTGCCCACCCACCCCGACAGTTCCCGCTCCTCCATCACATCCTTTTGCCCCTCCCTGCCCTGCAGACCGGGAGAGGAGCCAGGCCCTGATCTCTGCCAGGTCCGGGAGCCCCTCTAGCCAGCTGCCCAATGAGCAGGTGCAGGCCTGGGAGAGCCGGCGGCCACTCATTCAGGACCTGGCCCGGAGGCTGCTGACAGATGATGAGGTGCTGGCAGTCACCCGTCACTGCTCACGGGTAAGCCCCCAGCCCTCCCATAGCTGTGGCCCACAGTGGCTCACTCACCTAGCCCCTTATTCATTCAGGCCACTGTCTATTGAGCAGTACCTGGGCTTGATTCTGAGAGGCCAGCAGTCAGTAAAAGAAAAATACACCTCTCTCTCTCTCTCTCTCTCTCTCTCTCTCTCTCTCTCTCACACACACACACACACACACACACACACACACACAAACACACACAGAGAGCAATCTCACAGGAAAGGGAGCTATATGATAACTAGATCCTAAACACCCCTAGTAACAAATCACTCAAGATGCTGTGAAGGAGAAAAACATAAAAGATAACCCCGGAGAGGTACACATTAGGTGGCATGGTCTAGGAAGGCCTCCTCGAGGAGGTGACATTTAAACCGAGGAGAAGAGAGAAGGTGGACAGGTGATGAGTGAGTGGAAGTTAGTCCCTCTAAGCCCCCACCCAGCCTTATCCCCCTTGTCGCCTTTTATTCCTGGGACAGTCAGTAGATCCAGCCCTATGCAAAGTCCCCTTTTTCTTTTTCTTTTTTTTTTAACAAGAGAAAACAAAGTCCCCTTCTGTTACCCAAGTAACTAAGTTACTTACTTACCCACGTAAGCAATCTTACACCATTATTCTGGTCTCTTCTACTTGAAACAGAACCCAAGGACCCTAGGGCAGGGTGGGTGTCAGCTTTTGGGGAGGCTATGTGGTGCAGCTCGCCCGCTCTAAGAGGACTGGAAGATTCTGTCCTATCCTTTGTCTCAGGAATCCCTGGAGTTCTGTGGGTTCTGCTCAGCTTGTGCAGGCTGAGGGGTTTCAGAGAGTCATGTGCAGATTCCTCCAACCCACCTTGCTCAGAGTGATGTTGTATATCAGTGTAATATCTGCATTGGCATGTCTGTGGGCTAGGGCTACTTGATTTGTGTCAACATGACTGCATGATTTTATCTATGTATGGGCTTGTATGTATCTGGCTATCGCATGTGTGTGTCCAGGTATTGTCACCTGGACCCTAAGATGTGGTCATTCATGCATCCCTTTACTAAGGCCTGGTTCACAGTAGAGCTGCAGATGGGGGTGCATGTTGGGAGGCAGCTACTGGACTCAGAATTAAACTCAGTAGGTGTCACACTCAGCTCTGAGTGCTAAGTACAGCTGTTATTCACCAACCTCCAGGGATCTTGTACCTCTGGGATGTGGCCACTAGGTGGGGTTCTGTGTCTGTTTCTTTGGCCAATGCCTTTCCCCTTCATCCCTCCACTCTGCAGCCCTCAAGTCAGGACATGTACTCACTTTGTCCCCATATCACCTGCAGGCTCTACATACTGCCTGACCCAGTCCCCTCCACCACCCTCTGGGATGAATCCAGCCCTCAGGGATCGATAAAGTTCCTCTGATGCCTGGGCTATAAAGCCCTGAACCTCAGGCCTCCCTTTTCTCTCCCCTCTGAGCCATCGCTACACAGCCATGAGACCAAAATACCTCTGTGCTCACTCCATGGTCCCCAAGCCACCTCTTGACCACTTATATTTGGCAGAATAGAATATAAGTTGCTTATCCTCACATTTAAGGCCCTCTCTGAGGTCACCTCTCAACACCTTCCCCATTGTCTTCCATGGCCACCACTTTGGCCTGAACAGGTTACTAACTAAGCAACTTCAGGGAGGACTAGTCACAGCGCTCACCACTGTGCAGCCCTACGTGGAGGCTCCTTGTGGACCCCATAGCCACACTAAACCTGTTTACTCATTGTTCCTCTTCGCCTTTGGAGCACTTGCCTCCCTGATCTGTTCTTTCAGAATCTGAGTAAAGGCCACCATCTCCAAGAAGCCCACTCAGATCCTCCACTTCTGAAACCCCCGTTGCCCCACTGCCAGGAATTTATGGTTCATTCGCCCTGTGTTCCCACTAGACTGAGTTTCCGAGGACTGGGGACAGGGGTCTTCATTATTTTGTCTCCACTGCCCAGTACAGGGCCTAGATGCTGAATGATTTGTGGACTTGATGTATGTACACACAAGTGGCTGTTTCTGTGTCATTTGCATGTCTTTCTTCAGACAACAAGGAGTGTATTGTGGTTTGTGTATGTATGAATCCCTGTGACTGCGTGAGGTTTAGGGCCACACACGACGTTTTTATTTATTTCCAGCTATTTATGAATGGAAATGACTCACTATGACCACCAGAGGATGCGCTCTCCCTGTCTATGCCCATAAAAGAGGTTCTCTGTGTGCATGTCCCTGAATCTGTCTCCCTCTCGCCACCAGGGGGAAGTATTCTGCCCAAGTAGGGTGGCTCCCAGTGTTCAGTTCTCCAGTCTGTGGGGTGTGGCATCCGCGTTGGTGGCATCCAGGCAGTGCCAGGCAGAAGGGTACTGACTGAAGAAGCTTTTTGAGGAGCCACCCCTTCCCCAAGGTCCCCATTCCAGCTCCAAACAAAGGGTCAGGCCCACAGCCTAGTGTTGGGCTCAAATTCCTTCCTTCTGTCAGGAGTTGGGGGTGGGGAGGAGAGTGGACTCCCTGATCATCCTTTAATGCCACCAGAGCAGGGAAGAGCCAGATATCTCCGGTTGCAGTCCTTCCTCACATTTCCTTATCTGTGTTGCTTTGAGCAAAGTCCCCTCTGAGCCTCAGTTTACTCATTCATAAAATAGAAATAGTTAATGTCATCTCTCAGGGTGGTTAAGTGAGAAGCCATATGTAAAAGGCTTAGAAAAGTGTCTGTCCCAAAGCTATTATTGTTCCTGCCATTTATTATGGATCTGTTATTACTTCAGGCTTCCACAAGGTCACCAAGATAAGACCATCCTCTAGACCCTGGGGTGGACTGAACATTTCCCAAAACATGGAGGGTCGAATGGGTCCCAAGGCCCCTATGTGCTCTGGTTTCCCCTGGCCCACCTGTGAAGTCCCTACTTTGTCTGACCTGTGGTGCCTCTATCTGCAGTATGTGCATGAGGGTGGTGTGGAGGACCTGGTGAGGCCCCTGCTGGCTATTCTGGACAAGCCTGAGAAGCTCCTGCTGCTGCGGGACATCAGGTGGGGAGGGGCTTGAGGAGTGGGGGCAGGAGGGGATCCCTGATACCTCAACATCCCCAGGGAGGAAGCTCCTCCAGTTACCTCAACAACTGAACTCTGCTCACCCACATCTCTTGCTTCTTCTAGGAGTGTGGTGGCCCCCACGGACCTGGGCCGCTTTGACAGTATGGTGATGCCCGTGGAGCTGGAGGCTTTTGAGGCTCTCAAGAGCAGGGCAGGTCAGCAGCTGGGGGCCAGGACTACAGGATCCTGAGCCCAGGTGGGGGTGGGGCCAGCAGAAGTTGCTAACCTGCCTTACTTCTGACTTGTTCTCTCCAACCAGTATGGCCTCCTGCTTTGAGACCAGCCCGGCAGGACACGCCACCCAAACGTCACCTCATCACCCCTGTGCCTGGTCAGTTGGAATCTCAAAACCCAAGGAGGGGGCACAACCGGGGTAACGTTAGGAAAGAGAAGGGGCCTTCCATCCCTGCCCCCAAATGGGGTCCTCATGGCTTCAGAGGCCCATTGAAGGAAAGCCCTTGTCCATTTTCATCCCATCCACTTACCACCTGCACTGTTACTCACTTCACAGCTGCTTTTAAACCTGCTGGCTTTTTAAATCCAGTCTCATTCTATGTGATAATATTGGAGAAATTATCAGTTCAAGCTGTTCAGGATGGCACACACCTGTATCCCATAACTTGAGAGGCTGAGGCAGGAGGATTGCAAGTTCAAAGTCAGCTTCAGCAACTTAGCGAGGCCCTAAGCAAGTCAGCCAGGCCCTAAGCAACTCAGCAAGACTCTCGAAATATAAAATAAAAAGGTCTGGGGGGATGTTGCCCAGTGGTTAAGCACCCCTGAGTTCAATCACCAGTATCAAAAAAAAAAAAAAAAAAAAAAAGGAAAGAGAAAGAAAGAAATGTATTATAATAGAATGTATTAAAATGTGACTATAATAGATCATACTTGTCTGTCCCAGTGGGCAGTGGGCCTGAGCAAATGCAGGTCTGGTTCTCATAGGCCACACACAAAGGCAAGACCTGGTGGCTGGAAAGGTGGTCTGAGGTGGGAGGCCAGGAGGCAACAGCCTGACCTTGGCCTCTTCCCCAGATAGCCGTGGAGGTTTCTACCTGCTGCCTATGAACGGTTTCTCTGAAGAAGAGGATGGGGAGCTGAGGGAGCAGCTGGGGGGCCTCAAGGTCTCCCTGAGTGCCTCGGCTCCCCACCACCCTCATCAAGGGATCCCCCCTCTCCAAGATGTGCCAGTAGATGCCTTCACACCATGCAGAAGCACATGTACACCCTCTCCCCCACCACCCCCTGTCGCTCCCCGGCCACCGCGGCCTAACTGGCTGCTGACAGAACCCCCGAGACGAGAAGATCCTCAGCAGAGCCAGAGCCAGAGCCAGGGCCAAGCCCAGGGTCGAAGCAGAAGCCACAGCAGGGGTCGAGGCAAGTCCCCTGGGCGCAGCAGGCGCTCCCCTTCCCCAGCACCCATCCCCACCTCCAGCGCAGCCAATGGGCGCTACCACAGGCCTCGGAAGGCCAGGCCCCCTCTGCCACGACCCCTGGATGGGCAGGTGGCTAAGGTGGGGGCCAGGCAAGGTCCTTCAGAGAATGGATCCGGCAGGGCAGCTGAGGAGGCAGCCATGAAGGCCCCCAGTGGGGAGCTGAGGACAATCACACTGTCTAAAATGAAGCAGTCCTTGGGTGAGTGCAGGGTGGACTGCACTGGCGGGGTAGACTCCTGGGTTTGGGTGGTTGGTGAACTTGAATTTCAAGATCTGCCTGGGCATAGGAAAAGAACCTCGGGTAAAGGGAAATCTAGATTTGGGAGAGTTGGAATTTGAAGGATTTGGGAGTTGAGACTTGAGCAATAACAGAACCTGGGGTTTGGGAGAAGTTGGAGGTCCTGGATTTTGGGATGAGGTCCTAGGTTCCTCCTGGGATTTGGGGGTATGGCTATATTCTCACCCAGAGCCTTTGACCCTCTCTAGGCATCAGTATTTCAGGGGGCATCGAGTCCAGGGTGCAGCCCATGGTGAAGATAGAGAAGATCTTCCCAGGGGGTGCCGCCTTTCTCAGCGGGGCCCTGCAGGTAGGTGAAGTCCACTCCCTAGGCCCAGAGCTGAAGTCTGGCAAGGTGTGGGGCTGCTTCATCCAGACATGTTCAGACCAGGTTGTGGGAAGAAGCTTGGGAGCACAGGGGTCAGGAGAATAGGCCTAAGGGGAAAATCTGTCCCCTGATGCTAGCCTAGGCCTGAGGGACGGCCCATCCTGTTCCACCCTGGGCCTCAAGGAACAAAAGGCCATTGTCTATGCCCCACCCTGCCCCCAACTGCTCCAGGCACAAAAGTCCCATTGTCCATCTCCTGAACCCAGTTGGGGGAGGAGTATCCTAGCCAGTGGAGGTGAGAGGACACTGCCTTCAGGTTAGGTGGTAGGGTGGGAGTGACCCAGGGAGTGCCATGACTCTCCCATCCTGATCCCAGGCTGGTTTCGAGCTTGTGGCAGTGGATGGAGAGAGCCTGGAGCAGGTGACCCACCAGCGAGCAGTGGACACCATCCGCAAGGCTTATAGAAACAAGGCTCGGGAACCCATGGAGCTTGTGGTCAGGGTCCCTGGGCCTGGTCAGCTCCCCTTACCCCCTGACCTGTCAGTTCTTACTAGTCAGCACCCTCCTCCTGATCCTCCCTCTGCCCACCCACCCCCTGATGCTACTCCAGTTCCCTCCCACTGGCTCCCAAAATCTTCCATGAGTGCCAGGACCCATCCTACAGAGAAGGCCAGACTTCTCCAGAGGACTCCTAGCCCAATACCTTCCCCAACCCTCCAGACTCCTGAAACTAACCCCTGACCCCTCCCCCCAGATTCCCAAGGACTGTTTCCACTGGCCTCAGATGCCCCCCCCCCCCCCGCCCTCCCACCACTGAATCCAAGTCTTCCTTTTATCTCTGGGACCTCTCTTGTGAAACTCCTGGGGACTCAGGAACATCTTGGTCCTGCTTGCCTTGTCTACTAGAGCTCCACACTGCTAGCTCTGCTCCCCTCCCGGCTGTCAATTACACTCCGCCCTTTCCAGATAAACCTGGTGTCCATCATGGACAAAGTGCTAACAGGCAGCCTGTCACCTGCACTCACTGCCCCTCCAAACTCCTAAGACAAGGAGGGGAGTGAAAAACTCAAGGTCTGGAGCCTAGGATTGGTGGGCATCTTCTCATGTCCCCTCTCCCCCACCCCCAATTCCCTAAAGAATTGAGGGACAAAAACTGATGAGACTCCTCAAGGGGTCAATGCATCCACCCCCCAGTTCCAAGTAGCATTCAGTGCAAGAGACAAGATAGAAAGCTTTTCCAGTTCCTAACAGAGACACTTTCATGCTGTGGTACACTAGGACCTCACTTTCTGCTGGACTTGTCCTTCCCCCATGGCCCTTCCTCTCCTTAGTTAGAGCTATGAGAGGTGTGGGAGTTGCCAGCAAACAATGAAGGGATGGAGGTCAAACAAGTTCCTCCAGCACTCGTTTATCCAGCATATTCATGTTTTTTAAAAACCAAAAAAAATTTTTTTTTTAATTTTTTCTTTGGGTTTGTACAAGAAATTTACAGTGTGAAAAATATACAAGTGAAAACAAGGCCATAAACCTGGGTGTTGGGAAGGGCTGCTTGGTCACAAACACAAATAAACAAGACATTTCTGAGTTCTTCCTTTGGTCTGACTTCAGCCCCCTCAGCCCAGGAGGGAGGCTGCAGAGCTGGGACATGGGGATCAGACCCCAGTTCCAGCCCTGTCCCCCAACATGGCCAAAGTGGGGGCAGGCACATCTGGAGCAGCTGGTGCCATCTGGCTCTCTCTGGCTTTGGGGTGGGGAGAATGTGGAGATGAGGAAGCCCCTTCCTCTTCCCAGCTCTGACGGCTGGAAAGGGCTGTCAAGCATTTGGGACAAACAGAACTGGTGGGGTGGCACTGGCAGCAGCTGGGGAGTGAGATGGGCAGAATAGTAGGAGCCTCTGGATAAAGTGAACATGGGGGACGTTCAAGGGGTCTGATCTTGCTCCTCCAAGTCAGGGACACCCAAGTTCTTAGCAGAGGCCTAGAGGCCTGTACCCTGGAAGACAAGCGGCTCTGAGACCCTAAGACTTGGGGATGCTCACTGGGTCCTGGGGTCTGAGTGGACCCGTGGCTCCTGGCCCCTTCAGTGAAGCTCACTGTGGAGCTGGAGTCCTAGATTTCAGTGGCAGTGATCTCCTCCAGGCAGATGCAAGGTGCTGGCTCAGCCAGGCCCAGGTCAGCGAGCTCACGGGCCTCCAGCTCCAGGCTGAGCTGCTGCAGCTCCTGCTCCAACTGCCGGTTGCGCCGGTACATCTGGATGTAGTTGTGTTGCAGCTGCTTCTGGTAGCGGATCACCTGCTCCTTCTCGGCCTGCCAGGCCAGTCGCTCCCCCTCAAAGCTGTCCCTCTGCTCTTCGCCTCGCCGTCGTTCTCGCTGTAGCTCTACCCGCAGCCGCTCCACTTGGGCCCGCAGGCTGCCTCCTGCCCCAGCTGCTGCCCGCTGCACCTTGGCCTCGTCACTCTCTGCCAGGAGGAATGGATCAGTCGTGGCAGGTGGTACAGGGGGCTCCCGGAGTCCAGCTGCCTCAGCGTCCAACTGTCCGGCCTTCTCTCGGAGCCGCTCGGCCTCCTGGCGGTGCCGCTGTAGCTCCTGGGAGCAGGTCTCCAGCTCCAACTCCCGGGCTCGGGCTGCCTCCTGCAGGCCCCGGGCTCGGCCCTCACTGACCCGCAGAGCAGCCCGGGCCTCCCGCAGTGCCACCCGCAGTGCCACCAGCTCGCTGCCCTTCTGTACCAGCTCTGCCTGAGACTCCTTCAGTTGCTGCTTCAGCAGGGAGATCTCGCCTGACTTCTGGCACACCTGAGGGTGGGAGATGGTCAGGAAGGATGGTGAGAAGGGTTCTCTCAGGGGATCAGGCCCTGGGCATCATGCTGGGCATTCAGGAAGCTCAATTATTACCTCCATTTTACAGATAGAGACACTGAGGTGAGCCTAGCCACATATCCAATGTCACACACCTTGTAAGTAGCTAAAGGGGAACACAGACCAGATCTTTTTCCTTCAAATCTGGTGTTATCAAAACATCAGAAGATACTCTGGAAGCACTGCCTAGCCACGGGAGCAAGGTGGTTGTGGTGCGGGAGTGGGAGCAATCGTGGGCAGAGCACATGTCCAGGTGAGAGGCACCACAGTCTTGGGTGTGAGAACCGACATCTGAGCCTGGGTTCAAATCTTACTTCTGCCTCTGTTGTGTGAGTGAGTCCCGGCTCCAGCTTTTCTGGAACTCAGTTTCTTTGTGTCTAAAATAGGGATATTAATAATACCCACCTTGTAGGGAAGGCAGTGAGACAGCAGTGCCACTGGCTATGTGGGCACCAGGCAGACCAACAAGGAGACCTAACATGGAGGCAGGAGGAGAACCCCACCCAAAAAGGGAGATCTGAGGGTCCTTTTCTCACAGAGGTGAGAAAGGGCAGGCATTCTGGGGCAGTTGGCTGAGAGAGTGTATAGCTGGGCCTGTGTTTCCAGGGTGTGTCCTGGTGTCACCCTCCTGCCTGTCCCTCCTGGTCTGGCGCACCTCCCACTTGGTCTCCTCCAGCCGTGGTCCAAGTTCCCGCTGCTCCCGCTCAAAGGTGGCACAGCGCCTCTCCAGCTGCTCACGCTCCTGCAGCAGCTGTGCAAAGTCATCCTGCAACTGGCGCTTCTCTTGCTGCAGCTGGAACACCTGCAGCTGCAGCAGCTGTTGGGTGCGCTGGGCTCGCTGTGCGGCCTGCTGCGCCTGGGCTGTACAGTCCTCACGCAGGGCCTCGCGTTCTCGAGGCCAGTGTCGCTGCCGCTCCCCGAATGCCTGTGGGCAAGAAGGCAGGTCTGTCCTGCTCAGGTTCCCCAGACTGAGCCCTGCCACCCTTACCTGCTCACTGCCCAGGTGGCCCACAGTTTGGGTTCTAAGAAGGCAGAGTCCATGAAACCAGTAATAATTATTACAACAGTAGTATGAATGGCTTTTATGATAATAATAGAAACCACCACCATAGTAACACCAAGCATTTACACTGCACTTCTGAGGTGCCAGGCTAGCACTTTATATCCTTGGCCTTATTTCTCATGTTGACCCTATGGAGCCAGAAATATCTCCATCTATAGATGGAGAAACTGAAGCTCTGTAAGGTTAAGTAACTTGCTCAATTTTTAAAAATTGGCACATGGCTGGCAGTGCTCTGACTCCTTATCACTCTGCACGTGACACCAGGGGGGTGTTAATCTAACTGCCCATCCCCGTCTCCCCACCAAATGGAAATGTTCCTTGCACCTCCAGTATCTTTGGATGTTCTGCCACACCACCCCCAATACCACCACTGACCACACCTGGCACATGGTGGCCTCGCTCTCATCCAGACTGTCCCGCAGTTGCTGCAGATCTGCCTCACGGTCACGGTCTCGGTCTCGGAGCTTTTCTTCCAGGACACAGTGCAGCAGGGCCTCATCCGAAGGGGGAGGTGGGGGTGGGGGTGGAGGGGAGCGGTCCCCACAGGAACTGTCAGGGGAGGCCCTGGGACCACTACCCAAGAGCCCCCCAGCCACACGTCCCCCCAGAGAGCCTGTGCTCTTGCTGGAGGAGGACCGGCCACTGTCTGAGTGGGAGGGCCCAGTAGGGGCCCCTCGGGCTGGCCCAGGCAATGCCCCCCGCCCAGAACCATGGGAGGGTAGGTGCCCGCCTGGGGAGGTGGTGACTGGTTCAGCACCCCCGGTGCTATAGGTAGGCAGGCTGGACAAAGAATTTCTGCCAGAGTCAGATAGAGTCCCTGAGGGGCAGCCACTGGCCCAGCCACTCAATGCCAGGGGCTTGTCGGCAGCAGAGGAAGAGGAGGAAGAGGAGGAGGAGGAGGCAGGGCCCCCAAACAGCTGTGTCAGGCTGCCTTGGCTCCCAGACAACCCTGTGGCTCGAGAACCCAGGAAGCTAGGTAGGGAGGGAGCCCCTCGAGGTTTGGGCAGCACTGGCTTGAAGGCTGTTGGGCGGATCAGGATTTTCTCCATGTTCTGAAACAAGGTACCACATAACACTGAGGATGAGCTGCCTGATCCTTCAAAGCCCTTGTCATGCTCCCTGCCCTCCCACCTCCAACCCCCATACATTAATAACAATTGCTACCACTGGCCAGAGGGCTTCCTGGGTGTCAGCTTTATGTCAAGTGATTCAAAAGGTTCATTTCCAGTCAATTATGACAGTCAGACGAGTAAAACATTATAACCATCCCCATATTACTGATGAGGAAAAGGAGGCTGAGCAGGGCCATAGGCCTTGTCCAAATCAAACTCATGGTTGTTGGACACTGATAACTGAAGAAATTAAGATTTACTGAGTACTTGCTAGGTAGGTCCTCAGTACCATGCTAAGCATTATTTCATTTAATTCTCATGACAGCCAATGAAAGTCTACCTTGACTAGACTGATAACAGAAAATGGGCTCAGACAGACTAAGTGATTTCCCTAAGGTCACACAGCTAGAATGTGACAGGTGGGATTAGAAACCAGGGCTGGTGACTCTGGAGCTCACATTCTACCCTGTAAAAAGGCTTACAAATTCCAGCTTCCCCGGGGAGTGGGGTTTTGATTCTACCCAGACTCCCAAAGAGGGGCTGGTCCTTACCTTCTCCAGCTTTCCAGAGACAGGGATGAGCTTTGGTGGGGGACCACGGAGGTGGGCACTGCGTGCCCGCTGTTCTCGTGTATCCTCAATGTCACTGCTTGGGCTGGGGGGTGTTTCTGTTCGGAAATCCTCATTGATGTAGGTGAAGCTGGTGCTGGGGACATTTTTCCTGGGGGGCACAGCTGGGCACAGTGGTTCCTGTGTCTCATAGCCACCCCGTAGCAGCCCATCCTGCTGGCGGAAGAAGGTGGGCCCAGGGGGGCCGTGGTGGCGAGAAGGAGCTGGCCCCCCAGGGCAGGGCCGGCCAGAGATAAGACTGCTCACGCTGCCCATGGTGGGAACTTGTGGGGCAGCTGTGGCCTCAGGAGCTGGCTCCAGTGGCACTGGCAGAGTGTGCACAATGGCCATGGCAGCAGAGGCTCAGGCCTGGCCAAGGGCCTCGAGGGCAACCTGTGTAAGCAGGGCCGGGGTGTCAGAGTCCCTCCACCATTAGCCCCATCCCCATACAAGGTCTTCTCCTGATCCTGTGATCCAGGTCAACCTCCCTCCACCCCAGCACCAATAAAAAGTCCCAATCCCTCGCAAGCCTCCTCCTCCAAACACTGGCATGAACCTCAGTCTTCTCTAGATGCCAGACGACTGCCCAACTCTGGTCTGAACAGGTTGACTGATTTCACCAAGCAGAGATGAAGGGATGGGAGGTCTGGGAGGTTACATAGGGCCATTTGGCAATGGAGATCCAGGCCCAAGCTCAAACCTATAAGAGGTCAGGGCTCAGGTGAGGTGTGGAGCCATCTCCACCAGTTCCAAGCACAGGTAGGTCCCTGCTCTCCTGGGACAGGTGACCTCATTACAGGGCAGTTTAGGCTGCAACATCAGGGATGCAATCAGCAACTCAGATGGTAATTAGGGAACAAACAGCTGAGGCCAGGTAGTGCCCAACCTCCCCCTGCTGGGCCTCAGTTTCTCTCAGACAGAGAGGCGGCAAAGGTGGAGCTGGATAAACAGGAACCCCACAGCTTTTAAGGAGCCCTCTGGGGTCCCCTGCCTCTCAGAGGTAGAGGCAAGCTCATGCTTACTTCTATGACAACTCCCAGCTTCTCCACAATCCATAGTTAGGATCCAAAGAGGCTGGACAGTCTCTGCCCTGCAGCTAACCTCTATGAAACCTTCCAGCTTTAGCTGGTCTCCAAAGTAAGCCCCAGGGATACATGCAGAAGCCCACCACCACCTCTAGCAGCTGCTCCAAGATTCCCTTGCCAGAATCTCAAGCAAGAGGGCTCCACCTCCCCAGGCCCTGCTCCTTCCTGGAAGGGGATAGCAAAACCTCCACCCGGAACTCCCTCCCAGTACTGAGACTGTTGATGACCAGGACTTAGGCATCTGCTGAAGTCATCATGCAGAGCAAGGGCCAAGAAGTGGACAGAGAACTTCACGGGAGTAGGAGTGTGCATATTTATTTATTTCTGTGCATGACTATATGTACAGGAGCATGAAAATGAACACTGTCCATGTATATGAAAATATGTGAGTACATCACGAGGAGGTATGAATATATGTGTTTGGGCAGATGTACCAGAACATTCTATACATACATGAAAGTATGTGTGAATTCTTAAGTGTGTCTTATAAGAGTGTGTGTGTGTGAGTGAATAAGAGGTCAATATTATAGTGGAGGTAAACGCAAATGCATATGTCAGTGAACTTGGGTCTGAATGTGATTACATCAGAGAAAATGTTTGGATAGATGTATCAGTGCCTTTATGTATATGCAAATTTAGGTGTAAACTACTATGTGTACCTTACATGATTATGTGAACAGGAAGGTGAGTGTGTACTTTTTACAAGTATGTAAAAAGGAGTCTGTAGGAGTGTGAGCAAGTGCAGGAATAGGTAGAGACTTGAGTGGCATGCAGGGTCCCTGGGTGGGTGGGAGCCTGATTTTTTTTTACCCTCTTGAGGGGTGGGGAGAGGTAAGACTCACAATATCTGACTCCTTTGCCCAATCTGTTCCCCTTTTCTTGCCTGTGCTCCATTGAGTCTATCCTCTTTACCCCCACCCAAGTGGATAGGCACTACAACACTGAGAACCACCACGAAGGAGACCAGAATGAGGGAGGAATTGCTGGGAGCCAGGCAGGAGGTGAGCTGGGTGCAGGGTGCAATCATAGGCCCCTCTGCAGGGCAGGGCAAGGGTGGGGGCTGAGACTACCCCATAAATCCCATCCCTGAGCAAAGCTGATAAAGTTCCCCCTCTTGTCCTCCCCACTCTCAGGCACCATTCCGGGGCACGGAAGAACAGTGGGGGAAACGGCAGGCACTGTGTGTGCACTTCTCATTTCAGACAGCACAGAGTGACCAGAGCAAAGGGTGGCTGTAGTCAGACTCAGAAAGACAGACCCAAAGACAAGAGACAAAGACTCAGAGGCAGAGAGGCTAAGACACGATGAGACAGAGGCAGACCTATTGGGAACCAGAGTCACTTAAGCCACAGAGCCAAGGGTCCCTAAATCCAGAGGGACATGGAGTGGGTCTTGAGAGCCAGGCGTCTGGAAAACCAGGCCCAGCCAGCCGGGCTCCCGCTCTTGGAGCCCAAGAGAGAAGGAGGGGCAAGCGAGGCTCCATTTTGAGAAACGCGTTTGTGTTTGTGGGAAAAGGGAACCCCTCGTTCTCCCCAGCACTCCCTGAACAATCACTCTGGCATAGGGATGCCTCCCAGTTTAGAGGGCTGGGGGGATTGAGGTTCAGCCAGGGGCAGAGAGGCATCTGGCCAAGATCCCAGCTCTCACAGACCTCAGTTTGAAGGGCTGCAGAGTTGGGGAAAGTCTCTCCCCCTCCCAAACTCCAAGGACCAGTCAAGCAGGAACAAGTCTGAGTTCCCATTTCGCGACAGGAAGCAGAGAGCCCCCACCCCACCCTTCAGTCCACCCCCCACCCCACCCCCGCTTTCATGAAGGGGGGGCGGTGGTGGAATGTCACCTCCCTACCAGACTGCACCACGAGAAGTTGGGGCGACCCAGCCCTGGCCCCCTCACCTCCGCTGCGTTGCTCCATGCTCAGCCCCAGGCCGCCCCAAGCGCTCCACAGGCGCGTCGCCCGCTCCGGCCCGCGCGCGGCCACTCGGAGCAGCCGGGCTGACCGGGCCCCGCCTCCGCCACGGCGGTGCCCCCAGCCCGGGCCAGCCCCCGCCCGGCCCGAGTGGGCGGTGCGGTGCGGTGCGGAGGAGGGTCCAAGGGGCGTCCCCGCCCTGGGGCGCAGACACGCGCAAGCACCCCACGTCACGCGTGTCCGCCAGGGCGCACGCCGGAGCTGCACGGCAGCGTTCAGGATCCCTCCCTGCGAAGCCGGGTGGACATGTGTTTTGCGGCTCGGAACTTGGCGGGCGGATCACCCTCTACCCTAGCCTGGCCCCTGGGGCCAGTGGCAGCTGGTCATTGTTCAAGCACAAAGGCGCGCTAGAGGCCGCCCCTCCCCCTCCGCTTCTCTAGGAGAAGCCTCCCCCCGCCCCAGACACTCTCCAGCTTCTTAGTCCAGACAAGAGGCCGAGGGCTAGTTGCCCGCCTTCAACTACCAGCGCCCGGAGCCTGGGCACAAGTCGGGGCCGAGGCCCGGTCGCTGCCTGCCCCACCCCCAACGGGTTGGAGGCGGCACACTTGGATTTGCAAAGGCGGCGCCACCTGGCGGCCAGTTCTGATGACACACCAGTCGCTCCCCACTGTGGGGGTCACCCACTTCACTCCCCAGCACTGGGCCCTGGCCCGCAAGCCCAGGCCTGCCGCTGGCGCGGATCTGTGCTCCACAACTTGCCCTCCGAGTCATTTGCTAGAAGAGGTCATTGCTCGGAGGGGTGCGGCCTCTGGCCCCACCAATCGCTGGGATAAGCGATCCAAACCTACAGTCTAAACCTACACCAGCCTTAAAGCAGACAACATTCCACTGTGTTTGTCAGGGTCACAAATATTTTCACCCTCTAGAAAACAACACAATCTTAACACCCACACGACCTTTCCCACATTCAGTCTCAGGCAGCCACATCACACGGTCTCATCCATCACGTGGTTGCGTGTTTCTCCTTTCCACAATCTTCCAGGCCAACTCACACACGGAGACCCTGGATGCCATACGCCTATTGTGCACCGTCTCTCCCAACTCACAGTCCTTTGCACCCAGTCATAAACTCAAATAGACTTGGGTCTCCTAACCATTATTCACTCATTGACAAGTCTTATTCAGACACTCTGACAACTTCTTAAACACCCCCCCCCCCCTCAGAAACTACCCCGGACTTTCCCTAAGGGGTCTCGGTGACCTGGTCAGATCAGCTGATGCGATACCCCTAAGCAAATCCAACCTTCCTCCTTCTACACACGCCCCCACCCCCCATCCCCGGCCTGCCAGAGCAGGCTGGGCCCCAGGAAGGAGCATCCCCCCCCCCCTTCCAGGCCACAGCCTGGCCGGCTCTCAGCTCTATTTTTAGCTCTATGGAAAGGGTTGTTTTTCTTTCTTTTTCCCTGGAAAGGGAAACAGCCCAACCACCCTGAGGCTCACCCCAGACCCTCAGCCTCACAAGAACAGAATGAATCCCTCTCCCCAGTAAAGACCCCCTCCTCTGGCCTTGCCCCATCCCTGCCTCCAGGGGCACTAAGAGCCTCCTCCCCTTTCTGGCAGCCGGCCCAGAAGCTTAGGCAGCAGCTGGGCTCAGCGTGTGGAGGGGTGGGGGTGGGGCGGGGAGGAAGGCAGGATTGCAGCCCCCTCCTTCATTCCCTGGGGGCGGGGGTGGGGGCTCTTCCTTCTTACTAGAGGGGGTAGGCCCCTTGGGTATTGAGGGGTCATTTACTCTCTAGCATTCCCTGTGGGGATAGGAGGCTCCCACTCTTGCACGGGTGGGCTCTCGGTACCTATTCTGCGAGGAGGAGCTCCCAGATCTGCAAAAGGTGGACGTGGTGGTAGAAAGGGACCCACAGGCAGCTGCCCCTTGGGCTGGGGGTAAGGGACGGGGGCAGCTGTCCACTGTCATCAAGGGCCTCCCTCCGATACCCTCAGGGACGCGGACTTCAGCAAAGTGTTTCGGAACTGTAAGGTGAGAAGTCCAAGTAAATAACGCCTTCCAGCCTAATAGTCTCTCGGCCTCCCATCCACCCTGGCTCCAGGGGGCGTTGTGCTCCTATTTCTAGAAGAGGGCTTATCACCGCTCCAGGCAGATGGAATCAGCCCCACACCTGACCAAGCAAACTCCCTGGCCTGGTCGCGGTCCTGTGGTGGGGTTGGGGGAGCACAGCCCACCAATCTGCGGAGCAATCACGTGCTCGGCGCCTGTTTACGTCTTGGTTATCACCTGCAGGGAGGCGGCTGGGAAGCAGGAACCTCCGGATGGGTCCCACCCTGCCCGCCCCCGCTGGCGGTCACGGGGAGTCCCCTTTCCCCCATCCACGACTAAATTAGCATCACCCTGCCCGCTGGGGTCGGCGCGGATCGCTCGGACTGCTAGGGTATCCAACTGGGTGCGTCCTTTCGGAACGCACGTGTGTTCATGTGTCCCAAGTGCATGCGTGAGTCTGTGTACACGCGTGTGTTTAGGTCCGTCGGTTTCTATGTCGCTTTGCTGTTGGGACTCTTCGCCTGCGTCCCACGGAGCAGGGACCCCTACCCCTTCTCACACTAACCTTCAGCTTGCCCAGACTCAGAAAGTTCGCTCCGGAGTGAAGATGTGCGGGAGGTGGGGGTTCCTGCACCCCCACCGCCCTGCCACTCACCTAGCGCCACCTGCACCGCCGCTCCAGCTCCCGCCAAGCTCCTGCTCCAGCGCGCCCACTTCCTAAGGGCGAGAACGCCGATCCCCAGCCCGTTCCGGGCTCCGGGCTCCGGGCTCCGGGCTCCCGGCACCAGCCTGGCCGGACCTGGTGGAGCGGGGCGGGGCGGGGCGGCTGAGGCCGCGCCCCCCACCCGGGGAGGGGAGTGGTCTTCCCCACACCCCCTCAACAACCCACTCAATATTCAATCCAAAAAGAGCTCCATAGTGGCCGGAGGCTGCCCCTGTGGACTGACTTCATGGCTTTCCACCTGGAGAAGGGACAGGCAGCACGTGACCCAGAGCTAAATTACCTGGCTACCCTAAAGGTATGGGGCTTGACTCTGTCACCCTCCCATGCTCGGTAGAGAGCCCAACCCTATCCACTCTCAACCTACTCCTCAATCAAGAAAAACCCCTGTAAGGCAGACACAGAGGGCTTGGGTTTAACCAAAACAGCTCCCCCGACCTTTTGGCAACACATACACCTTTGCTTGGGGCTGCCCAAGCAGAATCAACACCGCCCCTTTCCCTGGAGTAGGTGCCTTCCCAGGTGAGCCAGTTGTCAGTCCTGGCCCCCCACAAGGCCTGGCTCTGTTTCCCTTAGACTCATAAAGTCCCACCCACAGGCACAAACAGGAAGTTGGCCTGTATTGCAGGGAGGCACCAAGAGCTCCCTCCCTCCCTGGTACTCAAGGCAGCCTGTGGAAAGGCTCAGTCTACAGGTATCTGGGCCTTGTTTGCAGCCAAGAGTACTGGGGCTGCAGGACTCAGGGTGATTTTAGTCTCTTCTCAAACACGTCTAAAGTATGGAAGCTGCCCCTCACAGCTACATGTGACAAATAGACAGTCAATCTGAGGATAAACCTACAGATCCAACTGGTCACTGCTTGGACAGCCCCTTACTGAGCTCAGAGAAATTGTTAAGTTGTTGAACACTGGCGGATTACCAGCCTTATCCCAGAAAACTTGCCTCAAGCATCTCCCCCACCCTTTTCTTTCTTGGCTCCAGGAACTTCTGAAAATACTCTGGGCTACATCTTAATGTGGGGAGTTTGAGGCAGGTATGGAGGGGAATATTTGTATAGGGGATGGGGGCTGCACAGTGTTAGCTTCCTCTCCCCCTCATCATTCTGGTTTGCACTGTGTAGGGGTGTCTTCCAGGAGGGTGGAGCAAGACAAACAAGTGTATATCTATCCCTCTATCCCCAAATCCTCAATTCATAGCCTTCACAAAGATCCCCTACTGGAAACCCCTAAATGATTTTCAGACATTTGTGGAAGACTAAATGTGGAATTCATGCTCTTGTAGGTAGGACTGGTTTGGTACTGTACATCTGGAAAGCATAGCTGACATTCAGTGTTACAGATCCTGGATGAGGCCTAGACCAGCCAACGGCTGGAAATGATTACTGCAGGATTAGGGAGGCCTGGCTCCAGCCAGTCTGGAGAGACCCCCAAGAAAGCAAACCCTGGAGAAACTACTCCCACCCCCAGGATCTTCCCCACAGAGAACAGCCAGCAGCAGCTTTGCTCCAAGGTCTGTTTTTGGAGATGTTTGTGGCCACAGTTCTCAGACTCCAGACCCTTCCACAGGGTCCCAGAAGCCCCCTCTTGGGTTGACTGGAAGATCTTGAAAAGGAAGCTCTGCTTCCATGGAGCAAAAACCTTCCTCCTACTCATAAAAAAGGGATTCTTGTTTCCTTACCACTTTTTCAGGCAAATTCAAAGGGAAACTGGAAATTCAGGATACCTGAGGAAGTGAGATGACAAAGTAGCATCATTTAGGAATATTTCTGAGAGGGTCTATGGATCATCTATTTTATTTTATTTTTTTTAAATATTTATTTTATTTTTTTAGTTTTCAGCGGACACAACATCTTTGTATGTGATGCTGAGGATCGAACCTGGGCCGCACGCACGCCAGGCGAGCGCGCTACCACTTGAGCCACATCCCCAGCCCCCCACTGCATTTTCTTTTTGCATTTTTTTAAAGAGAGAGAGAGAGAGAGAATTTTTTAGTTTTCGGTGGACACAACATCTTTGTTTGTATGCGGTGCTGAGGATCGAACCTGGGCCGCACGCATGCCAGGCGAGCGCGCTACCGCTTGAGCCACATCCCCAGCCCCGGATCATCTATTTTATAATCTCCTGCAGAGCTTGTTAAAATGAGGACTTCTGTACCCTTCCTCAAACTCCAGAATGTGTGCATAATGGGCCGGGGTGGGGGGGGGGGAGCAGGGCTTAGGTTCTCTATTTTTAAAAAGTCCCCAGGAGTTTTGGCACATATTAACCTGAGAGAGGGTACAGGAGGAGGGAAATGGATAGGGGAGGGGTAGAGATTAGAATATTCTGGGTCTTGAGTCCACATTCAGAGATGAGTGGCTCACATCACAGAGGGAAGAGGGACAGCTGGTCAGATAGGGACTGGACATATGGCCCACTGACCCACACCTCTGCCAAGAATCTCATGGAGATTCTCAGGGAAGTTAATACAGTACCCTACCCTCCCAGCCCCAGGGCAAGAAGAGATATAAAGGGGAGGTGGATGTGAAGACCTTTTAATGCCCCCGCTTCCAGGGAGCCCACAGCTCAAAAGCTCCAAGTGGGGGAGGGGACCCATCCACTCCCAATTCAGAGTCAAGTCCAGTTAGACTGGGGAGACACCTGGTGGACAAATAGGAAAAAGCACAGAAACAAAGGTAATGGAAAGAATTATTATTTTTTTTTTCAGTAAAACAAGAAAAAGTCTCTATAAAAAGTTCTAACTCCAGCTGTTCATCTGAAGTTACTTATAATGGAAATAGTGCCCAGGCATTCTAGGCTCATAGCTTCCTATTATGGCTGCATGGCCAAGTAATCAAGCAGGAGGAAGCTCCATTCTCAATTTGAGGCCCTGATATTACAGAGCTAAGCACCTAGGATCAATTTTAATTTTAGAAGGTGCCACCTCATGCCTGACTCAACAAAGCAGGGAGCATGGGGACTTGCTACCCATCATGTCACCTTCTGGCTCCAAAAGCCTAAAAGGATGCAGTTTCAGGAAGGAGTTTCCTATCCCATTCTAGGTTCGGGGGGCCTGACCTCACTATCTTGAATTTGACTTGCTTATTCCCATCTCAGGACTCTGTGCTTTTCTCTGCCTGGATCCCTCTCCCTAGATACTCATATGATCCAATCCTTCTAATTCTTGAGGCCCTAACTACATGCATGCTGCCAACATTTCTAGGCCATTTCATCTATGCTAGCCCATGAGCACCCCATCACATTACTATTTTCTTTATAGTATTTTTACTAATTAAAACTTTTTCTGTTTACTTGTTCATTGCTTGTCTTGTTTCTTCAACTAAAACACTGGTTCTGTGGAAACAGAGACCTTATTTTTCTTTTCAGTGCTGTATATTCAGGACCTTGAGGAAAGCCCAGCACACGATAGTTCTTGGAAACAGTAGCTAAATTGAATTTCCTCACTATGAAACCCTGCCCTAGCCTGAAAAGGGCCTATAGCTCAGGACTATAGGACAGAGAAGTCCTAGCAGAAGGCCAAGAAAGTGTCTATGGCCCAGCCTGTCCCGTCAGCTCATTTCAGTGACTGCTCTGGGTTGCCTTCACTTGAAGGCTTAGAGGTTTCTGACTGGTAGGGATTGGGGCCCTGGCCTGAGTTAAGTCTCAGAGTTTTGGGGCACAGCCCCTTTTTTGCCAGAAGAGGGCTTTTTGGCCACTAGTCCATTGTCATCCTTGATCTTCTTGAGCCGGGCTTTGCTCTTTGGAGGGATGGAGAAGGTGAGAGAGTTCTTGTTGAACTCAAGTGGGAAGACACCCACATCTCCATCAAAGCGGTTCTTGGAAACCTGCAGATATCGTTTTCCTGGCCCAGTTACCAGTTTCCTGTCCTGCAGGATCAGAACGTTGTCTGCTTCTTGGCTTGCCTAGGAGACAGGGAGCAGAAAGAGGAAAGCCGGAGTTAAGAAGACATGTGAGTGAAACAGAAAAGAAGGCTAAAGGTTTAGGGAATAGTGGCAAGAACTGGAAATGGAAAAGTACTTCCCCATTACTAAAGCTCTTTCAACAAGTGATGCTGGGGCCACTTCAGTCTCCCATTTCCTTCACAGTAAGCTTGCTACTATCTCAGACTTTGTGCTGCTCCCTACTTGCAACACCTCTCCTCTACAGTGGGCCACCCTACTCAGCCCAGCTTCTCATCATTCAGGTCTCAGTCTAAACATCATACTTCAGAGAGAACATTCTTATTTCCTGAAGAAAACACCATCATTTCTGCACTTCTGCTGCATTGTTCTCTTTCTCAGACCCTTGTCTATTCCATCGTGGCACAGAGTTTATGCTCCTCACCTTGAATTCCCAGGTGCCCAGCCCAGGCCTGGCATGTAATAGGTACCCAGTGTACCACTGGAATCTTTAGAATTGGGCTGGTCCTGAAGCCCAGCAGGCACTCCCATGTACTTGACTAATACCTAGTCTGCCAAACTACAGCACAATGTTTGTTAACACTTCCTCTGGGAAGTCTCCTCAGGCTGACTCAGATCTCTCCTCTTTGTTCCCCAAATACCTATGCTTCCTATTGTAGCTCTCATCACACTGAGCTACAATCACTATCTCACTGTTTCCCTCACTAGAGGATGTGAGCTCTCAGAGGGCAAAGAACTATTACCAGCCTCTGTATTTCTGGTGCATGTATTCTTCATTTCATAGCCCCAGAAGCACTGCCTCCTGCCTCTCCTACTACAGTCAAGATAATCTAAGGCTGACTGAGACCTTTCTCTGGCCACAGCTGTCCCCTGTACTCTCCAAAGCCTGAGCCCCTTTAAAGTCCACTCACTTTGGCTGAGCCAAAAATGGATGCGGTCTGCAATTCCTTGTCATCATCCTCCTTCCGGGGGTGAATGACCAGTGTCACATGGCAGCTGTTGTCTGTTGCAAACTTCCGAAAGGCCCCAACGATGTAGTCTTGAGCTGCAATCCTGTTCCAAAGAGGTTGATGAACAGTCAGAAAGTCAAGAACTTTTTTTGTTTTGTTTTGGTACTGGGTATTGAACCCAGGGGCACTTAACCACATTCTCAGCCCTATTTTTTTAAGACAGGGTCTCATTAAGTGGCTTCGGGCCTTGTTAAATTGCTGAGACTCGCTTTGAATCTTCCATCTTCCTGCCTCAGCCTCCTGAGTTGCTGGGATTATAGGTATACGCCACTGCGCCTGACTCAAGAACAGACACATACCCTTAATCCACCCACATCTCCCCACAAAGCACCCCAACTCTACTCTCCACTTCCTCTACCCAAGAACTCACAATCAGGCCCTCATCCATACTTCCTGCTGCCACCCACCCAACTCTATATAATACATACAGGGTGGTATGTACCTGTACACCTCTCAGAAAACAAGAGAGTACAGAGTGTGTACCTAGAGGCCAGCTGCCTCAGAAGACGTATCCAAGTTAGACAAGAAGAGGGCATCACCTGTCTGTAGACAGCTGCTCGTGACCCATCATGAACTGCAAGTTGTCGATGACCACATGACAAACATCATAGACATAGACTGCATGTTGCATTGTGTCTATTACAGACCTGGGAAGAAGAAGAGGCAATGAACTCAAGAGTCAATTACAAATAGCCTCCAGACACCTCAGGCAAAACAGCTGGTCTGCGGGCAATTTGTTCTTCCCTTCCACTCTTTGAAAACCCTAAACCTATCTAAGGAGACCTGGAAGTAGTTCCCACTAGAGTTGGAAAGGGAACCAAAGGTGCTAAGTGCTGGGATTTGTTTGGAAAAGCAAAGTGGCTGGGCTATAAGGATCTCACCTGATGCTCTGCTGTCCATGGAAAGTCATGAAATAGAGAGGCAGGTCCTCAAAGCGGTCGGCCCACTCTTCATATTTATCCAATTGTTCTTCTAGACGCCCCATGGCAAACTGCGTCAGCATGACCCGGGCTAGTCTCACGTTGCTGATCTCAAAGCTACCCCATAGTGTGTTCACCCCCTGGGTACACAAATCCAGGGCATACTCACTGATGAATGTTGTCTTTCCACTGCCTGTTGGCCCTGTAGTAGGGATGAATACAGTCCTGGGTAAGGAGAAAAGTCCCTTAAATCAAAACACAGATTAGAGCTATAAAGCTAGGAGGGGAAGCCCCCTTCTCAACATTTTCAATGGCCTAAACCCAGATTTTTGACACCTGATTCTCTGTCCCTTTAACCCAGTGATTTCTCAGAGGGTTACCTGTGAAGACTGTCAGCTCGCCTTTCCGGTGCCCCTTCAAGAGACGATTGAGGTCTGGAAAGCGGCTCCAGGGGACACCAGCTGCTTGCTCCACATTTGATATTTCTCCTAGCACCTCTTCCCGAAGCTGCTGGAAGGACACAATAGATTTGTGCCAGGCAGGCAGGGCAGTACGAAGAATACGAGAAAGATTTAAGCCTTGGTTCATGGCCTCAAGGGGACGGGGCTGTTGGTCTCCAGGACGCACCAAAGAGCATCGCTTGGGGTTCAGTTTTCGGGCAAACAACTTGGCAGCTTCCCAGGACCGAAGATCATCCCCTAGCCAGAACACAATCCTTCGGAACTGTTCGAGGTAAGGGAGTAAGGCAGGGGGTAAGCAGATGGTTCCTCGGGGTAGGGCAAGGGTGGGCAGCCCTGTAGACTGGTTCAAGGCCAGGCTGTCCAGCTCACGACTGGTCAGAACCACCTCAACATCTCGACGGCTGATCAGTGGTAATCCAAACAGGTTGTGGTAGGCACCAGGCCGGGGAATAGTGGTCTCCACGTAGTGTACTCCATCTCCCTGGCCTTCAGCCCCTAATAGCTTCAGACCTCGTAATCCTAAATCCCGAGGGGAAAACCAGGGAAAGACCAGACTGCGAGCAGGTCGTAGGTATCGAACACTGAAACGCCTGAGTGTTTCATCTGTCACTTTGGTAAGGCCAAATATCATACGAGCCAACTGGGCTTCCTCTGGGTCAGGCAGCTCCCAGAGTGGTATTGCTCGGTCCCAGATCCTCCGGATCTCCTCAATGTCCTTAGCTTCTGGAGCCTCAGTAAGCAGGGCCCCCTCTCTGGCCCCATCCCCTCGTCCCTCCACACTTGCTTGGAAGTCTTCCCAGCTCCCCTCTGCTAGGCTAGTCATGCAGAGAAAGCGGCCTGTGGTCTTGTCAATGAAGAGACTGAAGGAAGTGGCAGCACTAGTCTGATCCTTGGGCTCTGAGGACCCCACAAAAGGGCTAGGTGCTCGAAGGCAGCTGTAGCCATCCTGAAAGGGGATTCCATGTGCCCGTAAATACTGCCGAATTTCAGTTGTAGTTAGAGGCAACACTGGTATCTCCAAGGCTGGAAGAGCCTCCTTCCTGTACCTGCGACGAGAAGAGCCTGGGACCAAGCTTCGGGGCAGGCCCCTCCGACCCATCCACACCCCACGCAGGGGCAGCAAGATCCGGAGTGGGTATGCACCCCGGAGGAGGACCCACATTTCTAGTGGAGTAGCAAGTCACTACTTGAAAAGCCTTAAATGCCTGGTTTGGGTGCCTTCATTAGGTCAAACACTAGGGAACACTCCACAGAGTTCACTTTTAGCTTGCTTATCTCCCCTAAAACTTGTCATAACATCCCCCTGAATCTTCCTCTGCGTTTTTACATTGCCACTTCACATCTCTGCCCATCTACATGACCCTTTCACATCTATATATCCCTCTATAAAGGCTCCCTTACCTCTATCGTCAGTCCTTTATGGTTTCTCTCACCTCTGTGACCCTCTGCAGTCCTCGTCGCTACCTATCCGTATCATTTCTTCACCTCTACCACCCCTCCACGCACTCTTCTCGTAGTACTCATCTCTACAGTCACAGCCTTCTGCATCCTTTTTGTGGTCCCTCTGTTTTAGGACCCAGATGGAGACCCTCTTCGCACTCCTTCCCCTTCACTGGGACCTTCCACACGGCTAGGGCGCTACTCTACGACTCCCGCCATTCTGAACCCCAAGAACGCGTCCCGCTCCTCTCTCCCGTGTCTTTCCTCTGCTGTTTCTAGGAGGTCCACGGTTCCGGCCCCTGGCCCCTCATCTCTCTCCTACGGCCCACAACGTGGGTCGTTTGCACGCGCCACTCGCGGTAACCTCGGAAGCAAAACTCTCTGGAGCGCTAAGGTCCCCGGAACCGGAAGTTCGTTTTCAGTCCCGCCCCTACCTCCTGCAACTGGGCTCCGCCACCTCCGAGCAGTAGCTATGACTGCGCGCGGGACTCCGAGTCGCTTTCTGACCAGTGTTCTCTACAACGGGCTGGGTCGCTACGTGCAGCAGCTACAGCGTCTCAGTTTTAGCCTCAGCCGAGACGCGCCCTCGTCCCGCGGCGCCAGGTGAGTGCGGGAAAGCGCACGGGGGTGGAGAGGGAGTAAGGATCGCGCCGGGTCAGGGGTCACCGAGCTCACTCTTCCCGGGTCTCTCAGGGAATTCGTGGAACACGAAGTGACCGACTTCGCCCGACAGAACCCAGGGGTCGTAATATATGTGAACTCGAAGCCGTGCTGCGTTCCCAGAGTAGTGGCCGAATACCGTGAGTGGCGCCGGGTTAGGGCTGGATGGCGGGCTCCGAGCTCGGTTCTCTAGCCTCCCCATGCTTGACACCTGACCTGTTTGCTTCCGTCTCCGCCCTGCCAGTTAACGGAGCTGTACGAGAGGAAAGCATCCACTGCAAGTCAGTCGAAGAGATCACGACTCTGGTGCAGAAGCTGGCAGACCAGTCGGGCTTGGACGTGATCCGCATCCGCAAGCCCTTCCACACCGACAATCCTAGTATACAGGGCCAGTGGCACCCTTTCACCAACAAACCGACAACCTTCCTGGGGCTGCGACCCAGGGAGCTCCGGGATCCTGTCCCAGCCCAGGTGCAAGCGCAGTGAAGAAGAGTTGCCCTACCAACGCCAACCCTAGACCTGAGACTGTCGCCCTAGTAAAGTGTTTTTTTTCCTCTTTTTTCCACAGTTAGGGGTCAGTGACCTTGTGAACTCTCTAATTCTAATCCAGTTGGCATCCCCAAAACCTGAGATGATAGAACTTTGAAGTATTGTACAGGGTCTTTGTTTTCTGAAATTCAAATTGATTATAGTAATCTCAAAACACAGGGGATTCAGGGCTGGCTTCTGAAGAATCCTTGATGTCCTATTGCCACAACCTTTGAGCTGTTCTCCACTGTGACCAGACATTGGGCAAGAAACCTCTTGTGTGATTGTGTACAGATTAGAAAACTGAGGTCATTAAACTTATCATCATACTTGAGTTCTTACTTCAAAATGTGTGCATTTTAAAGCATAAGCTGGAGATTTCATTATTCTAAAACCAGAAGCAGAACATATAACCCTGTATCATTAGGATCAAAGGCAATGTTCTAGGCAATTATCTAGATAATTGTTCTAGGCAGTTATCTAGGCCTGATTCCTGGAGGGAGTCCTGGGTGATTCTCATACTAGGTTCCTCATAACAAGCTTTCCCTAGTCCCAGCTCCATCCCCACCCCCACCTCCACCCCCCAAGACCCCTCTTTGTGCAGCTATGAATCCATATCATCCCTTGGACCAGTGGGTGGGAGGTACTAGAAAGCTGTTTAGAAGAGCAGGAAGACTGATAAATAAGGAGCATCCCTTGAGCTTAATTTTTTTTTCTTTTAAAAATTTTTTTTTAGTTGTTGACAGATCTTTATTTTATTTAGTTATAGTTGGTACCAAGAATTGAACCCAGTGCCTCACACATGCTAGGCAAGCGCTCTTCTGAGCTACAACCCCAACCCCCCCTTCCTGCAGCTTAATTTTAAAAAGGCAGGGAAGCTGTGTGTGGTGGTGCATGCCTATAATCCTAGTGGCTTGGGAGGCTGAGGCAGGAGGATCACAAGTTCGAGGCTGGCCTCAGGACTTAGTGAGGCCCTAAGTAGCAACTTAGTTACTACTGTCTCAAAAATAAAAATAGCTGGGGATGTAGCTCAGTGGTAAAGTTCCCCTGGGTTCAATCCCCCAACCCCAAAACAAAAAGGCAGGGAATCAGGCATGGTGACATGTACAAAAAGTAAAAAGTCGGAGAACCCTTGTGTGAATTCTTCAACTGCTGTGATTTTCTTGTTTGTCATGACCTTAAACCACAGTCAATGAATAATGTGAGCCTTAATAAAAGGGACTGTGTGCCCACCCAGTACAGCCATGATGGAAGCTAAGGATCTCAGTTTCCTTTGCAAATAGTTGTATGGAAAGCAAGGCCAAGCCTGGATGCAAGAACCACTGTAGCACTCTCTCCATAAGCTCAGAGCCTTACCCTGAGGACCAGGGCAAGTCAATCAGACTACTCAGAGATGTGGGGAAAAAAGATATTTATTAACCAGCATTGGGGGAGGAGCTGAGCCCAGGCTCCCCACTCTCACATGCCTATTCCACCCACCTGGGGATGAGTGGGGACATTCCTAAAGAACTGCAGCCGTTCTCACAATAAATACATTCATTGTGGGGTGGAGGTGGGAGAGGTTGGGTGAAGGGCAGTAAAAACCCGTGGGATTCCACGTTCTCAGCTACAAAAATAACAGTCATCCTCACCCAATGGGAATGGGGGAGCTCAGAATTGATTGTCCCATATGGGCCTGAAGACTTCAGAGGCCCCTGGACTCTGAAAGTGTCCCGGTGAGGTAGGACAGGGGTGGGAGCCAAGCATCCAAACTCCCAGCCTCTGCCCTTTGCATAGTTCCAAGAACGGGCTTAGTGTGCCAGGTGAGACATCAGTCCTCTTCTCTCCCTGCTGTGGCTGAGGGGGAGAAAATGCTTGGTCCCCAAAAGGGAAGCTGGCTCATTGAGTGCAGTGTTGGTCACCCGTCCTAGGGAAGGGTCGGCAAAGACAGCTAAATGGGAGGGGGATCTCCCTTTGAAATGTCCATGGACCAAACCTGACAGACACAGGTCCAAGGCAGCAAGGGGAGGCTCAGAGGTGCATGTGGGTGGAAATGTAAGCACATGTGATGTGGGTGTGTTACCACATATGCATAGGGAAAGGACATGCCTAGAGCTCTGTTGCTCTTCGGTGTGACCAAGGGGAGTGGGGAGGCAGACTCACAAGGGCTGCACAGGAAGACAGAAGAGGGGAATGATGCAGTCTTACCTCCCAGGCTGGCCTGATCCCAAGCTCTTGCCAATGGCATCAACACATTGTGGGGGCGGGGAGGGGGGACTGGGGAAGATAACTAGACAGGGATGTGACAATTGGAAGGGTACCCCAAATCCAGAAGAAGAGATGAAACACAAGAATGTAGCAGGAGAGGGTAGGGTGGGGTGGGGCACTGCAGCCCAGCTGATGAACATTCTTCCATGAGCACATGTGAATGTATGCAGGGCTCAGGTGGCTAGCAGAGGTCTTATCTGGCTTCAGGATGATCTACCAAACAGGGCCATGCAGAGGGTGGTGACATTGAGGCCATCTGGATCTGCAGAGCCCTACCTGGGAGAAAGGAAAGGTTGGGCAGATAATGGAAGCAGAGGATGGAGTAAGTACTCTCCTCCCAAGCATTTAGGTTAAGGGAATAGGAACTGTGTCTGGATCAGCAGAGCACCTGGTCCCCAGGGAGCACCTACCTCTGAGGAGCACCGGTTGGCCTGGGCTGCTCACACATAGGTCTTGGAGACTGAGAAAGGGGCTTAGGCTGGGCCTGACTGGCCAGCCCTACAGAGACATCAAAAAGGTGGGAGAAGGGCATGGAGTAGGGGGTGTGAAGGAGAGTGGCTATGTTGGGGAGGCAGCAGCCCAGCCTGGGGCACACAGGCTGGCTTGGAAGAGAATTTGTTCCGGAGGCTGGGCTCAAACAGAGCTCTCATCTAGCTGTTCCACGAGCTGCGTGTGCTTCCTCTTCTCCAAGATGCGGCTGAGTTCCTCAGCAAAGGAGCAGGGCCCTGCTGGCATTCCATTGTTGCTCTGCCTCAGGAGCACATAACTGTTGCCATTCATCCTCCGCAGCCGGCTGGGTAGTGCCACCAGCCCATTGGTCAGCTCAGTCGGTGGTGGTGGAGGTGGTGGGGGCGGTGGAGCTGGGGCACCCTCCCCAGGGATGATCTGGAGGCAGCTGCCCTCCAAGCCCCCAGCCCCCTCCCCATCATCACCCTCATCTTCCTCTCCAGGACATTGGCCTGAGACTGTCTGCAACTGCACAGCAGAGCCCCCTACCCGGCTAGCCCGACCCAGTGAGTATTTCCGTCTGCGTCCTCGTCTGTCTCCCCGAAGACAAGCAACATAGAGGAGGGAGGAGGCCAGGATGAGGCAGAGGCCACCAAGTGCAGCAATGGCTAGCACATAGAGCAGCCTCACGTCTGGTGCCAGCTGTGCCCCAGGCATGGCAGGGGCTTGTGGAGCTGGGGCAGGAGTGGCAGGCCGGACTGTGAGGCTGTAGGAAGCCAGCAGGGTACGGAGGTCATTCTCCTCTGCATAGCAGCTATAGTTTCCACTGTGCTCAGGCTGTGTGTCTGTCACTAGCAGCCCATCCACGCCCACACGGTAGCCATCCTGCCCATCACTTAGGCCTTTGCTCCCATTGAGTAGCCACAAAGCACGGGCCAGGTTGGATGGCTGGTCACAAGGCAGAAGGACATCATCACCCCGGAGCACAGAACGGGTCTTCAGTGGTGGTGGTGGCCCTGGGAAGGAGGGTGGAAAAGTCATTACCTACTCATCCCAGGAGGGCATTGGAAATGGCAGGAGTGGCAGGCCGGACTGTGAAGCTGTAGGAAGCCAGCAGAGTACGGAGGCCATTCTCCTCTGCATAGCAGCCATAGTTTCCACTGTGCTCAGGCTGTGTGTCTGTCACTAGCAGCCCATCCACGCCCATACGGTAGCCATCCTGGTGCCAGGATGAGACACTGGTACTAAGCATAGAGTCTAGAATCAGTGACAGCTTACCAAGCCCGTGTGCTTACACTCCCACATGGGTTCCCGTGACCCTTCTCAGGATGCAGGTGGTGCCTGGGCCCATTTGCCTTCTCTTCATGCTCCCATGCTCTCTTGTGATTTCAGTCTCTGCCATCTGCCAGTGACTCCTAATCTCTACCTCCTGCACAGACCTCTCTCTCCTGAGTGCCAGACTTGACTACCATATGCTAGGCATCTCCACATGAAATCTTTTGGGCACCT